AAGTCGTTAACGCTGCTGCTTGGCAGTCGCTTGAAGCTTTTGGATCGAAATAGCTCTTTAACTTTTTCATCAGTAGCGTGAAACAACTATTTACTTATTTGTTTCACTGGAAAAATACAAACGGGTTTTCAAAGTTAAGACTGAATTCAACAATTTGTCAAATTAATCACGCTGTGGAATGCTATGTCCACGGAGTAAATCTAGACCCGGGTGGAATTTTCCTCCCCCCCCCACCCCCCTTCCCCTTTGCCGACTGAGAATCATTCAAAGCTGCTCAAAGTCCATGGAAAATTGTGCAACGGAAAGCTATCAATGAAGTCCCCAAGTGGAAATGTAATGGGCAGGAGCCAATTCACATACCAGTGTATCTGTGCTTGGCTTGGAGTGGATAGTCTGTTTATACTGTCCCCTAGTGCTGGCAGTTGCCTTTGCAGAGCCAGTGCGCTCAAGGTCATTCCGTAGATTTCCTATTCGGATGGACTCGGAGAGAGAGAGAGAGAGAGAGAGAGAGAGAGAAGGGGATCGATTTGGGGAGAATGCGGTTCGGTCTCTCTCTCTGCTCGTTAAACACCGGCCTGTTTCACATCCCCTGTCCGATAATAATAATAATAATAATAATCATCATAATAATGCTTACATTTGATACTGAGCCTTATCACGTTGTTGAGATATCTCAAAGCGCTTCAGAGGATATACTGTAAAGGGGAGTGACCGTGTATTTTGTGGGCAAACACGGCAGCTTGTTTTGCCCATGGCAATGTCCCACAAACAGCCATGAAGTGAGTGGCCAATTTTATCTGGGGGATTGCTGGCCAGCACATCGGGAGAAAGAAGCTCCCTTGTCTTTTTGGAATAGTTATGGGATCTCGGACGTCCACCTGAACGGGCAGACGGGACCTCGGTTTAACCTTTCATCCAAAGAAAGCCGTAAAGCTTTCATCAACGTCATATATCGGACGTAAGGATTATCCCATTTTTGGAAGATTTATCGAAAGGTTTGGGATTTAATTTGACTTCCAAAGATTGTTAAACTGAAATTCAGCCATTTGGGGAATGGGATTAAAAGCCCCCATCAACCCCCCATCCCACCCCATCCCCACCCTCCCCCTCCCCCCACAAAAAAGTAGTCACGACACATCAGAAAGACACGCACACGTTGCACACAGTGTAAAAAAAAATTCCGCCCACTTGAAACACTTCTGCTGACTTCACTCCATGACGAAAGAACAAAAGGTACTTTTGCCCCATTGCGAAGCGAGCTAACAACACCCTCGGGAGGAGTTGGAACAGGAGGTCAAAAAGTTACGAGCAGGTTCGCAGTGCGGGGAACAGAAGCCTGCGACAAAAGAACAGAATGTGGAATTGCAAGGATGAATAACTGGGCATGTTTCTTTGCTGAGAGATAATGGGGCTTACAACAGAACCACGCTGTGATCTGAGAGCCACTGTCCTGTGAAATGCATTGGGTGTCACAGTGGGGAAGAGGTCGCGGGGGCACATCGGGAGGCTAACCGGCAATTATGTGCATATTTCGTATGATAACCTAAATGGGAGGGGAAAAAAATGCGCTGGTTCTATTATTTTTCTCCTCTTCGAGGTTCAAAGAGAGGATGGCCTAGGTGGAATCCCTTGCTGATGGATGGTTGCTGGGAAGGAGCGAGATGCGGGACTCGATGTGATTGATAGCAAAGTCGTTGTGGGGAAGAGGGGCTGTCACTGTCCTGGGACTCGGGGATTGTTACTGTAAATCCGTGTTGTAAATCTTGCCAGAGAGGCAGGTATGAACAAAAGAGCTGAGTTAAAGGGATTTTAAGTGTATGATCCGCTGGCTACAAAGTACAGACCAGATAAGACTGCTAATGATGGATAATTAACGGACAAAAGACAAGGTAATTCAATTAAATTGTGGTGATATATATATATATATTGTATATATGTCGGATTTAGAATTTGTTCCAAACTTTACCAAGGTTTATTTCTTGATGCATTTGAAATAATTAATCAAAAATATGCCTCGCATTTGATATAGCCCCAATAGGATCAAATTGGTGTCAAGTCAAGTGACTGTGGAGTGGGCAGGCAAATATGCCAAGTAATTTTACACACAGCAATTGTGCACACACGGATCCATATTGCACATAATCACATTCTGTGCTGATTTCTGCATTGTAGAAAATTATGGGACCTCTCGCTCCTGATGACCTGACTAATAACCCACCAGGTAGATGGTCATTCACCTCCCGGACGCTTGAGGGACATTGCTGTGGTCGAATTGGCTGTAGTGTTCGCCTACAAAACACACAGTCACTATACTTAACTATTATCATAATTATCGTAAAGTGTCTCTAGAAGTTTTGATGTTGGAGGCACTTTAACAAGTTATTTTGATTTTATTAGGAACTTCAAGTGAAACTGAGCGCAAACAGGGAAGAGTCCCAACAGTTTCCATTGGCATCAATTTACTGGGAAACACGGAGGAGTTTGCTGCACTTTTTCTGTGTTCCTCTGCAATTTAGGCTTTGTGTCAAAAATACCATTGATGCCAAGATGGGAGAGTCAATGCGCTGGTGAGATCAGCTTTGGTGTTTTCTCATGCCTGACATTTCTTACACTCCTTGCCCACTTTTGTGGGTTTTTTTGCTTCTTCCCTCCATTAAATAGAGATCATTCTGATGCAGGATATAGCATATGTATTTGATATCGCACCTTGAAACATGTCAAAGTGCTCCAACTATTTTTTTATCTGTAAATTGTACTGCCTTTTTTTGTGCTCGATTGGACATGAATGCTGAAGCTAACTTGCTCACAGCAATGTCCCACAATCAGTTGTGAAGTGAATGATTCTTTTTTCTCTGGCGGGAGAAACTCTCTTCTCTTTTCAAATAGTGCTATAAATAGAGGGACAGCACCTCGGTTTAATGTCTCATGGCATCTATGACAATCTAGAGGTGTGCTAAAAGTATCAGCATAGACCGTGAGCTCACAGGTCCGACATGCGGTTTGAACTGGTAAACCTTCCAAGGAGTCAACAGTGCTACCAACTGAGCCAGATTGAGACCCACCTCATTATTTATTTTTGCTCAATTTCATTTTTCTCTCTACCCAAACCCCTAGCGTTATCAACATCGAAACCAGCTTTTATTGATCACCTTTCAGGAAGTGAGAAAACAGTCTCAAATGCTATCCACAAGTGGAGTGGGAGACTGAGCAGGATGGGAAATAGAAGGAGGGTAAGACGACATGGCTGAGGGTGATAATTTTTCAGATGGGTTTTGAGAGGAGGGTGCGAGGCAGAACGATTAAGGGAGAGAGCTCCGGAGAATAGAGGGAATGGTGCTTTGAAGCAGGGACAGTATCGGCTGCTGAGATCCACAAAGCATTTTGATCGAGAACCTGATAGAAACCTGGTGTGGGGCTGGCGTAGGGAGATGGAATACTTTCCCATATTTTTGTCACGATGGCAGCATTAAGTAATGAACGGCAGGTGCATGGCTCAGTTTCCAAATAAAGCTTCTTCTTCTCTGGTTCAACAAGCCTGACCTCCGCAGAGCATCCCTCCAGCACCTGCGTGATTTCCTTCCCACTCTGCATGTCAGCCACTCACTTACTGCTGTGATCCCTGAAAACAAGACCGACCTCTTGGTGCAAATTAGCATTGGATTATGGGCAGTTGGAATATCCAATTGGAATCCAATTTTTTTTAAAAAATTGGCTGCCGCGTTTCTCCCCCAAAATACCCAGTCACTACACTTTAGAGTATATCCTTTGAAGCGCTTTGAAACGTCTCGAAGACATGATAAGGCGCTGTATCAAATGCAAAGGTTATTATTATTATATAAATAGGATTGAACACCTACAATTGGGATGGTAAAACTCTTTGACTTTATCCAGCCCCCGCCCCCCCACCCTCCCCCTCCCTAGCAGGTGCTTGTACAACTTTGTGATTTTTTTATTAACATTTTTATTATTATTTTCCTCTTCTATTGAAACTCTTGTGACTTGTCTCATCCTTCCCCGCATCACCTTCCTCCTCCTCCTCCTCCTCCTCTCAAACAACACACCTAGTGTTTTTTTTTAATTAAAAAAAAGTTATGGATTCTTTCCCCAAGTTTGTAAAACATCCCCCAACCCCCATTCATTCAAAAACTTGTCTCTCTCTCTGTCTCTCTCTCCTGAGAGTGGGTCCCTTTAATTCCAGGCTGCGGGAGCCGGGGATCGATGACTACCGAGTCTACCGCCGCGCGCGCGCGCGCCGCGCCCCGCCGTCGGAGCTCGGCGCTCGAGTCTCGACGCTCCGCCCTGCGCTCTCCCCGCCGATGCCGCCCGATCGTGGGCGGATTCCACGCCCCTTTGGGCGAGTTTTTTTTTGTCGCCCCCGTCCCCTTTTTGTTCTACGTCGGGCTACTATTGGGCTACTCACCGGTTTGCGGCCCCCCCAAAAAAATAGCCCAACAGCCTGCACTCCCGACGGCGGGGGGCGGGGGAGAGAAAAAAAAACCGCACGCGCGGGGCCGCCATGGCGATGGACGCCGCCGACCTGTTCGCCAAACTGCGAGCGGGAGCCCGCTTCGACCTCAAGCGCTTCGGCCGAGACGCCAACAGATTCCGGGTGAGACAGGCGAGCCGTCTAACGTGAGGGAGGGGAGGGAGGGAGGGAGGGAGATTGGGGGCGGGCGGGCGGCGGGCGGGGGGAGGTTAGGAGTGCGCGGAGTCAGGCTCCGAGGCGGTGCTAGGCCGCGCCTCACACATGGCTCCTGGTCCTTTTACTGTCTTGCGTCTTGATGGGGCCTCCAGGGGGAAGAGGGAGGGAGGGAGTGGGGGGGGGGTGTGGGAGGGAGGGAGTGGGGGGGGGGAGAGTGTGGGAGGGGGAGTGGGGGGGGGAGGGGAGGGGGGGAGTGGGGAGGGAGGGAGTGGGGGGGGCGAGTGGTGGGAGGGAGGGAGTGGGGGGGGGGGGAGTGTGGGGAGGGGAGGGAGTGTGGGAGGGGAGAGGGGTGGGGGGAGGGGGGGGGAGGGAGGGAGGGGGGGGGGGGGGGGGAGGGAGGGGGAGTATGTGAGGGAGGGAGAGAGTGGGGGGAGAGGGAGGGAGTGAGTATGTGAGTGAGGGAGGGAGTGAGTATGTAAGGGAGGGAGGGAGAGAGTGGGGGGAGAGGGAGGGAGTGAGGGAGGGAGGGAGGGAGAGAGAGAGAGCATTTCATCCCCAACCATCTCTCTGGGATTCTCACGTGTGGACGGGATGTATGGAATTCTCCGTTTGGTTCGGGTGCTGTTTAAACCGCGGTGATGGGATTCCGCACGTGTCACTGACCAGAACATGGTTCTCAGACGTGCACTTTTCCAAAACACAAACCCACCCAAATTGTACTGCCTCCCCCACTTGAAGGGCACCACCGACGACGACAACCGACAACAACGTGCGCGGCTATAGCGCCCCTCACGCGGGGTAGCAAACGTTTACTGCGAGTGGCGTGTTCTGTGTCTGAAGACCGTTAAGTGTTTTTATTTGCATGACTTGCAGCTCACGGTCTAGGTTGATGCTCCAGCACGGCGCTGGGGGGTGGGGGAGACGGACACATGGTGTCGGAAGTGCCATCCTTCGGATGAAACTTTCTGACGCTTAACCGAGCTCCTCGTCTGCCTCCTCTGCACAGGTGACGACGGTTGTGAGTTCAAGCCCCACGTCGGGACGTGTTATCACACAGTCTTAAGCTGGCGCTCCCAATGCAGCGCTGGGTCTGTGTTGTACTGTCGGAGGTGGTCTTCGGACGGACGTAGAAGAGATCCATTGCCTGTTCGTGGATTTTAAAGATCCATGGCACTATCGAAAAAGGAGCTCCCGTCTCCCCATTCTCCACCAAATACACTACTCCTTGGCTGTTTGTGGACATTGCTGCTGGCCGAGTCCCTCCCACAAAATACCCAGTTATCCACTTTATCCACAGTTATCCACAATATCCAATTTACAGTATATCCTGTGAAGCGCTTTGAAATGTCTCAATGAGATGATGAGGCGCGATATCAAATGCAAGGATTATTATTATTCTAACGTAATATACCAGTCAATACATTATATATGTATCATGTTACTTATTACTTATTTCTGTACTGTTCTTATGAATACAGATATCACAATCAAAGGATGCTACGTTAAGTGAAAATTCATTAGACCTTGATTTCTTCAAGAATCAAAATGCCAAAAGCTGCAAACCTGTGGGCAGCATATTTCAAAGCAACCAGGAGGGGGAGGATTGTGAGGCTGAGTTGGAGAATGAGTCGTCTCCACCTTCAGGGAAAAGAAACGTTGAGGCAGAACCAGAAACGGTGAAAAAGAGGAAAAAGAGGAAAGGTAAATGAATTGCTCGCTATGTGATTTGGTGAGTCCGATTTCAAAGTCACAGGAATTACATAAGTTTTAATTGTGTTGTCTTTCATTCTTGCTGAAAAATACAGTATGGATAAACGGTATTCAAATAGAGGGGTACAAAACGCAAAGCAATTAGGAAAAATGGATCAGTCTAAATTCAAAACACCCCAAAAATCTGTTACTTAAATCTGTTTTGGGGCAAGTTTTTTAATAGGCTACAAACTGGGGATGTCACATATGGAAGGCTGGAAGCCTTTTGTTGGAGGAGGAGGGAAAAAAAAGGATAGAATCAGAAAGCTCTGTAATGGAGTTATTATCCATGGAATAATGGAGAGAACTTTGGAAATATAACAACACATTACATCTATAAAGTGCTTTTCACATGGGAAGAATGTGAAGGATTTGGACTTGAGTTGGGGGTTGGGATCAGTAGGTAGAATAACACTTGATTGACTGATTTTCTTCTCCTGACAGAGCCTGGAGAGACAGAGCCCATTTTTGCCGACACCATGGAAGATGATGGGATAATGCTGATGTCCTCCTTGGGAAACAGGATGAAGGGAAGCAGTGAAAACAAAAGCACAGAGCCCAGTGCTCATAGTCTGGAACGTCAGAGACGTGAAAAGGTGCGACTTTCATTTGCTCACGAGGCTTCACCCACAGCTCTGAGACCGAGATGCCGGAAAGCTGCTGATCAGCTGAAGTGGATGAAGGTATAATGTTTCCTTTTGTTTTCAAGGTAAACAAATTCCGCCGTGTGCATCGCATTTGCGTGCAAGGAACAGATATCCCTGAACCGGTTTCAACCTTCGAGCAGCTCCAGCAGGAATATAAAGTCCACCCGAAGGTCATTCAGCATATGCAGGAAGCTGGTTTCCAGACCCCTACTCCCATACAGATGCAAGCCATACCGGTCATGCTACACGTGAGTGTGTTGCTGTTGATTTAATTGAGACAAGTGTTAAATACTGCGTTGGGCAAGTTTCCGTACTCCACACATGTCTGTTTACCTTGTGGTGATTGGTGAATCGCTTTTCCAAAGGTAATAATTCCTTCAAAACAAATAAAAATAATTTGGTCACTCAACCCACGCATGTTTGTGGGACGCTGCTGTGTGCGAATGGCTGCCGCGTTTCGCCCACAAAAAATATACAGTCAATTCACTTTACAGTAGATTCTGTGAAGCGTTTGAGACGTTTTGATAAGGCACTATATCAAATGCAAGGATTATTATTAATATGACACAATGGTGGCTCAGTGTGTCAGTGAGTCATATACAAGGAATGTCTCAAGTTTGATCTCAGGCGGGTGGGGAGACGAGGGAGGGAATGTTACCCTCATAACATTTAGCCTGTATCTTCACAGAATCGGGAAATCCTGGCCTGTGCCCCAACTGGATCGGGGAAGACATTGGCTTTTTGTATTCCTCTCCTGACCCATCTAAGGCAACCAATGAACAAAGGTTTTAGGGCTCTCATCCTATCTCCTACCCGTGAGCTTGCTAGCCAGGTATGTTTTATCACTATAGGACTACTGCGTAGCATGTGCTTTACCTATGAAAGGCTAAGACTGGTCATCACTTTAAGAATAACGTTACAGATATTAGAAGCGTACTGTACTTGCTGATCCAGTGGATGTCATTTTCCTGATTATTGTTGAACATTTAAGTGCTCCAAAGCCCTACCTGAAGGATAATATATAAATGCAAGTTATTATATTAATTTTACTGGTCATACTCTAAATCTGATGGTTGTTCCTGGGTTTTTTTTTCCTTCTCAGACTCATAGGGAGCTGGTGAAACTCTCTGAAGGTATTGGATTCAGGATTCACAAGATCAACAAAGCAGTTGAGGCTGCCAAAAAGTTTGGGCCTAAAACATCCAAGAAATTTGGTGAGCCATCCTTAAATGGAATTTTTAAAAAACACACAAAATCATTTATTTAAAGGTTAGGGAGAAGTTAATCTATTCGGAGGCCACACCACTCTTTTTTTTTACTACTGGAAAACTTAAAAAGGGAGTAATAATAATCCTTACATTGAGACGTCTCAAAAGTGCTTCACAGAATATATTATAAAGCGAATTGACTATAATTTTGTGGGCGAAACGATTTTGAGTATTTTTTTTATTGAGAAAGGGGGAAATATGAATTGCAAACACCAAAATTACATCCATTCTTCTGAAATTCTTGCTTTTTTTGCGGCCATAGTTTGCGGTAGACAATATCTGTGTTGCATTTATATACTCGTATTTTTCAGATATTCTGGTGACGACTCCAAACAGACTGGTTTATTTACTGAACCAGGATCCTCCAGCCCTGGACCTCAGCAGGTATCAATGATCTCTGATTGGCAGGAATTTTACATTTAGCTTTGCGTGACAGCCAAGATGAAAATCGTGCTCTTTGTTCCTCTGCAGGTTCCTCAACCCTGATTTTCAGTCTTTGTTGCATGTGGTTGTATTTTAATTGTTCGAGCCTAGCTTCCCCCCACTGGAGTTCTCCTAACTCTTCAACCGTACCTCAGTCACCTCCCTTCCTGCTCGGTGCCCAGCACTGCCTCTGAAAAGCTCTGGGGCATTGCTCGATATGAAGGAAGCTATTATAAATGCAAATCTTTTGTAACTGAGTCCTAGATGTGTGAGCGATATTCTGCCGTTATGCAGAGCCTTTGATAGAAAGTTAAGAATGGTTGAGGGGAAACGATATTTGACACAAAAAGAGTAATTGAGCTTTATGGAGGCAGCGATTTGAATGGTCAGATTTGAACATTTTTTTGTCTCACAGTCCATTCAGCTTCTTATTCAATTAGCAATTTGTGTGATATCATAGACCATCATTTTTTGTCCCGATTTCTCATATCGCAAGTATTTGTGAGAAAAGTAGTTCACTAAAGTGTATTTTGTACCGTCAGTCGCATAAGATGACAGATGGAGGTGCTTGTGTTGATTTCTGAAATGCTCTTTTTTGTGTGTGTATGGGTTTATTTACTCTTTGACCATGCCCTTTGGTCACTCTCCAACCCTCCTGATCCCAACCACCAGCTCAGGTGCAGATCCCTGACTGCGTAGTGGTTTGGGACATCCTCCTAAATGTCAAAGGCGCTATATAAAAATTTAATTTGTTGTTGGGTTTCAGCGTGGAATGGCTGGTGGTTGATGAATCAGACAAGTTGTTTGAAGATGGCAAAATGGGGTTCCGAGACCAGCTGGCCACCATCTTCCTGGCCTGCACGTCCCATACTGTGCGACGAGCTATGTTCAGTGCCACATTCGCAAATGACGTTGAGCAATGGTGCAAACTCAACCTAGACAATGTGATCTCAGTGACCATTGGTACAAGGTAAGACCATTGTGGAACTTTGCGAGCTTCACTGCCTAGTAATTTGGGTTCGTTCTGTGTACAATAGGTTTAATTCACACCTACATTTTCTGAAAACCTTTTTCTGTCATTTATATTTTTGTTTTACGAAGTAGGCAGTTGAGAGGCCCAGGGAAGTGACTCGTTTTGGAAGCTATTGGATGAATGCACTAACCATATAGAACTAAAATATAGACTTGCAACTCAATTTGAATTCAATTTCTCATTTCTTGTCATCATTCTCAATTTTTTTCATTCTCGTATCTATGTAATTTTTTTGTTTTCTAAGAAAAATTCTCCTACCTAATCACTTCTACCTTTTATAACTTCCATCCTCTTCCCCCCTTAAATAAACTAGTTTAATATTTGTATTTTTTTTCAAATCTCCTAAGAGCATATCCTCTCTGTTAGAGATAGTCTCACATCAGCTGTGCACTTTACATTCAAGCCCAACTACTTTCTCATTACTTGTTAACAAATAGGAAATCAAAATACCATGTGGCGTTCATATTTATAAAATATTCATTTACTATACGGTTAATGTTGCCCTTTGTTTGGGAGGCAGCATGTAAGAATAGATAATAAATAACATTTCCATAAGAGATATGCCAAGTTTATTCGACACCTCCACTTTATTTTATTTTCTGTTTAGGAATTCTGCAGTGGACACTGTGGAGCAGGAACTCCTCTTTGTGGGTAATGAAACCGGGAAGCTTCTGGCAATGAGAGATCTTGTCAAAAAGGTACAGCAACAACAACGACTTGCACTGTCCTCCACACAGGGTCCCGTCTACAGCACAAAAATCAAACAACAACAAGGTTACATTTGTATAGCACCTTTCACGTTGGGAGGACGTCCCAAGGCACTGGACAGAGTACAGCATTTCAGACCTGAGCTGGCATCAGGGGAGGGGAAGGGGGGTGGCCGATGGCATGGTTGAAGAGGAAGGTCTTGAGACAGGACTTGAAGGAGGCTAAGGAGGGGGCGAGGTGGAGTGACTGCGGGATGGAATTCCAGAGGTTGGGGGCAGAGTGGCTGAAGGCTCTCCTGCCAATGGTGGGGCGGGTGGGTCAGGGGACATGGAGCAGGCCAGAGCCGGCTGAGTGGAGGGAACCGGTGGGTTGGTAGGGGGTTAGGAGGTCGAAGAGGTAAGGTGGGGCAAGGCCATGGAGGGCTTTGTAGGTGAGGACCAGGATCTTGAACTGGATCCTCTGAAGGATAGGGAGCGAATGGAGTCGGGCGAGAGTGGGGAAGATGGGGTCACGAAGTTTGGTGCGGGAGAGGACACGGACTGCAGAGTTCTGGATTATCTGCAGCCTGTGAAGGGAGGAGTTGGGAAGGCCAACAAGCAGGGCATTTGCATAGTCGAGCCTGGAGGTGATGAAGGCATGAACAAGAGTTTTAGTGGCCTGAGGGGTGAGGTAGTGGCAGAGCCGGGGGATGTTATAGAGGTGAGGGAAGGCAGAGTGGGTCATGGCTTGAATGTGGGGGAGAAAAGACAGTTGAGGGTCGAACAAGACACTTAGGTTCCTGACTGGCTTGGTGAGTTGTAGTGTGCAACCAGCCTGAGGTGCTGAGGCGCTGGCGCGAGCCGATCAGGAGCCAATCAAACAACATCAAAACAAGAATGAACGTGCACTTTTACAGCACCTTGTCATGTTGAATGGCCCAGAAGTGCTTCAGAAGTAATTGCTGTCAAGTGTAGGAACTGTTTGTGAAAACACTTCATGCTCAGTGAATTGAAGATGACCAGCACCGATGCCAGTATAACATAATAACATAACATGTAGGAGCAGGACATTCGGCCCTTCGAGCCTGCCCCGCCATTCAATCATGGCTGATCTTCTAATTTAACTCCAGCTAATAACCTGACCCTGCCTTATCCCCATATCCCTTAATCCCTTTTGCAATAAGAAATCTATCTATCTCAGTCTTGAATATGTTCAAGGACTGAGCGTCAACAGCCCTTTGGGGTGGTGAGTTCCATACATTCACCACTCTTTGAGTGAAGAAGTTCTTCCTCAACTTAGTGCGAAAGGGCTGGCCTCTGATTTTAAGGTTGTGACCCCTGGTTTTAGTTTCTCCAACCAGGGGAAACAATCTCCCACTATATACTCTATCATGCCCTTTGATGATCTTATAGGTTTCTATAAGATCCCCTCTAATTCTCCTATATTCTAGAGAATATAGGCCCAAATTGATCAGCCTATCCTTGTAACAGTCTTTGACTCGAAAGGCAAACACCATAATCTCTGAAAAGTATTTTCAATCTCTTTCCTCTCATTCTCTGTCCTCTCCAATACCCTACCCTCCACCCCACCCACACAACAAGGATTAGAAATATGCTCGGGCTTTCCTTGATGCAGCCTGTTTGAATGCCAAGCCACCCTCCCATTGTTAAAATAATTTTCTTTGAGCTAGGATCTAAGCAAGATAGCTTTGTACCTTGTGCAGAAAAAGCAGTTTTGCTGATTTGGTGGAATGTGTTTGTCATGAAGCGAGCGTTGTAGTCCAACTCATTCCAATTGTACATTTGATTATAATGTGTTTTTTTTTGTTTAATGTAGGGTTTTTCACCTCCAGTGCTGGTTTTTGTCCAGACAATTGATCGAGCAAAGGAGTTGTTCCATGAATTAATCTACGAGGGCATTAACGTTGAGGTCATCCACGCGGAAAGAACGCAGCAGCAGGTAATGTGATTCTTTTTGGGGTGATGGAGTGGTGAGAGGGTGAAGAAAAATTGCCACAAAAAAACTCATCTTATTTTTGATTTTATTATTCTGATTGTCTTTCAACCAATACTGAATATATAGCTAGTATCACTAACACTTTGCAATTGCTACTGGAGATTCAATGGGTCCTCGCATTTTCCTTTCTCTCTTTTTTTTCTTCTCTCTCTCCTCTCTCTCTCACTCTCTCTCCTTACACTCCTAAGATTGAGCCATCCTCCTAATTTAGAAACGTAACCTTTCGATTCTGGAAAGCAAACTATGAATGTCCTTGCCAGCCCACTTCAAGAATAAAATAAATTGAACTGTAAAAACGTGAGCTGCTGCTTTTCCTGATGCAGTGCTGAGATCCACAGACAAGAATTGTCCCAGGTTTTAGCATAGGTCTGGGCCGAGTTGATCTTAGTCGATGGCTGTGTACAAATACTGCAGTTGGCATCAATATACCAATTACAGTTGGGGCAGAAGGAGAATTAACCAAGGTTGCATTTCTTGATTGCTATTCTTCCTCGATCTCTGCTAGAACACATATGTGGGATGTGGGTATGGTTGAAGACAAGATCAGACACAGCTGAATTGCTGAGGTTTGCTTTACAAGCATTTAGGTTTACATTGTGAATGTTTTTTTACCAGGTGGAACAGGCTCTAACAATTGAACTCTACTTTTCCCCTAGAGAGATAATGTAGTTCGAAGCTTCAGAATAGGGAAAATTTGGGTCCTCATTTCCACAGCGCTCATGGCTCGAGGTATTGACTTTAAAGGAGTGAACATGGTCATCAACTATGATTTCCCAACCAGTGCAATCGAATACATTCACAGGATAGGTATGTGTAACAATTCATTCTCCGTATCAGTAAAATGGTCTTGGTCAGCTGGTCTCAAGGATGACGTGTTTCATGTTTGTGCATTTCAATTCCAATTTTATTCTGCTTCTTTGCTGTGATTTGGAGTATGTTTGAATTTCTATGAAAAACCCTGTTTAAACTAGACATCGAAGCCCAATTCCAATGACTGGTTTCTCCACAAAGTATAAGCTTGAAGGGATGGAGGGCAGGGCAGTGGGATTGTAAGCGCTCTGGGATGCTACCCCATGTGAAGGGCAAGCTGTTGTTGTAAGGGCAGGTGGCTCAGAGAGGACAGAATGGTCTCCTTCTGTGCTGTAAATTTCTATCATTCTATGACTAAATAATCCTCATTCTCTCATGCAGAATGAGTGTGGCTAACCTGCAGGATTTAGTCTAGAAAACGAATAAGGCCCCTAACCTTCACATTGTGTTCTTTGTGACATGAGTATCACAAGAGTTTTTGCTGTCATTGAACGGATTGTGAGGTTCTTCATTTTTAGTCAAATTAATTTCTAATTTTAAATTACCAGGAAGAACTGGAAGAGCTGGTCACCGAGGCAAATCAATTACTTTTTTCACAGAAGATGACAAACCTCTTTTACGAAGGTTAGTATGAATATAAATGGACTTGCTTCAATATTCCTTTTCAGTTCTGGTCGTGGTTTGGTAATTGGTGTGATAATCATCCAAGATAATCATATATCCTTGTATATTTTCTACATATTTAGGAA